CGGGGATAATCATGTGGATCACCCTGTGCTGGTCGCTGGCAAGGTGTTAAAAAATAATTTGAAAATGTTCGTCGATGGGGGGGCCAGCCACAGCCTCTTCAATCTGGCGAGCGCAAAAAAATGCAAGCTGCAACTTGACAGGTGTCTGCCCGAAATTGACGCACGCCTCGTGGACAGGACGCCTCTGGCGATAACGGAAGAAACACGGACGGTCAGGATCGAATGCGGCGACGATTTCGGCTTCAGTATGAAGTTCCTCGCGACAACACTGGACGGCTGCGACGTACTGCTCGGACGTGATTGGTTGCGACGGCACAACCCCGTCATCGACGGGACAACGGGATCGTGCAGCATCAACAAGCACGAGGGGCTAATTAAACTGCCTGCATGGACACCTGACTACATCCAAGCCCCGTGCGTCAAAGCTGTCACTATAGCTCGCCACTTCAACAGGGGCGCGCAACTGTTCGCTGTTTGCTTACGCGAGTTGGCGGTTGACACCGACGGGAAAGACATCGAGAAGCTATGCGCATCTGTACCACCGGACTTAGCGGAGCTGATTCGGAGGTACCCGGACATTTTCCCCGACGACCTGCCACCTGGACTGCCACCCGAGAGACCCGAGGACCACAAAATCCAGCTGGAACCCGGCGCGCAGCCGACTGTTCGGACACAGTGGCGGTTGACCCAGCCGGAACTCGAGGAGCTGCGAAGTCAACTTGACGCACTGTTGGAGAAAGGGTTCATTCGGGCCAGCACATCTCCCTTCGCAGCACCAATACTGTTCACCCCGAAGAAGGACGGCGGGCTTCGCATGTGCATCGACTATCGCGCGCTGAACCGGGTCACCATCAAGTCTTGTTATCCAATCCCACGCACCGACGACCTCCTCGACCAACTTCGCGGCGCTCGCTATTTCTCGAAGATTGACTTACGTCGCGGTTACCACCAGATTCGAGTCTTCGCCGACGATTGTCACAAGACTGCGTTTCGCACACGCTACGGGAGTTACGAATTTACAGTGATGCCTTTCGGCCTCACGAACACGCCTTCGACATTTCAACTGACCATGAACAGGGTTTTCCGAGACCTTCTAGACCGATGTGTGATCGTCTACTTGGACGATATCCTGATTTTTAGCAAGACACGGGAACAACACCTCCGCGATTTGGACGCAGTGTTTAAGCGGCTGCAAGAAAACCGACTCATCACCAAGGGCTCTAAGTGCGAGTTTTTTAAGCAGGAGTTGGAATTTTTGGGGCACGTCCTCTCGCGCGACGGCATTAAAATCGACCCGGCGAAAATCAAGACCATCCAGGAGTGGAAGTCCCCGACGAACGTCACGGAACTCCAGAGTTTTCTCGGATTCGTAAATGATGTCAGGCGGTTTATCCCGAATATGGCGGGGATAACCGGCCCGCTGACCGACCTGCTGCACAAGGACAGGAATTTTGTGTGGGGGGAGGAGGCAGAAGCGGCTTTCCAGGAACTCAAGAATTTTCTGGTTTCCCCTCCTGTGCTGCACATCGCCGATCCATCGAAGCCGTTCGAAGTCGTCACCGACGCCTCAGATTTCGCCATCGGAGCTGTGCTTCTCCAAGACTTCGGGAATGGGTTGCAGCCGATCGCCTACGAATCACGCAAGCTGCAGGCAGCCGAACGCAACTACCCGATTCACGACAAGGAGATGCTCGCCATTATACACGCGTTTAAATTATGGCGATGCTACCTGGTGGGCGCCGACGTCACTGTTCGCACAGACCATAAGTCCCTACAGTACCTGCGAGCCCAACCCAACCTCAACCCACGACAGATTCGGTGGCTGGATTACATGGAGAGCCACTTCACCTACCGCATCACGTACAAGAAAGGGGCGAATAACATCGCCGATGCCTTGACCCGACCGACAGTACAATCCGCTGCAGTACTCATCACCCATTCGAACCCATTACTGACTGGACTATTTACCCACGGCTACACTACGGACCCGTTCTTCACGACTGGGAATCATCAGCAGGCCACAACGCAGAAAGGGGACTATTACCTAAAGGCCGGAACCGACCGGATTTGGGTTCCCGCTTACAGGCTGCTGCGTGAACTTCTCATCCAAGAGGTCCACGATTCGAACTTCTCCGGACACTTCGGGATCGATAAAACCCAGAAATTACTGCACCGTCAATATTACTGGCCTGACTCCTCTAACGACGTGCAGCGATATGTGTCCTCATGCAGGGTGTGCCAAGCTATGAAATCGACACGTCAACGACCAGCTGGGCTGCTGCAACCCCTCGAGCCACCCGAACGACCGTGGCAACAGGTGACAATGGATTTTGTCACAGGGATGCCAGCTGGACCGTCCGGCAACGACGCCGTGCTCGTCGTCGTCGATCGCTTCACGAAAATGGCGCACTTCGCACCATGCCGAACAACAATCACAGCCGAAGAAACTGCGCGCCTCTTCATCTCAACGGTCGTGCGACTGCACGGCATCCCTTCGGCGATCATCAGCGACCGAGACCCGAAGTTCACATCAAAGTTCTGGAAAGAGACGTGGGCGCAGTACGGCACGAAGCTACAGTTCTCATCGGCATATCATCCACAGACGGACGGTCAAACCGAGCGGACCAATCAGACCATGGAGCAGCTGATCAGGACAAACTGCCCCGACCCGGCCCGCTGGGAAGAATCCCTCGCCATGTTGGAGTTCGCCTTCAACAACGCACCGTCCAGCACGACTAATCACTCACCGTTCTTTCTGAATCACGGGATGGACCCGACAGTTCCTACAGCAACTACACTTGACAACCCGGTCCCGAGATCACAGACGTTTGTGACGGAACTTCAGGAAGTCCGAGAAAAAGCCGCAGACGCAATCCGCAAGGCGAATATCACTTCCCGAAAATACACCGATCTTCTACGCCGGAAACTCGTCTTGACTACTGGGCAACTAGTGCTACTTGGCACAAAAAACCTACACCTGCCCGGTCCGTCGAAATTACGGCCACGATTTTGTGGACCCTTCAAGATTATCAAGATGGTGACACCTGTCACCGCGAAGCTGCTCCTACCCGACGACTGGCGCATTCACGACGCCTTCCACGTCAGCTTGCTTCGGAAGTTCGTGCCCGCCACGACCGACATCGCACGGCAATAGGCTGCACCGACAGCACGACCAGTCCCGGAGCCGACTCTCGACCCTTCAAAGATTTTGGCACATAGGGTTCGCCTCGATGCCGCTGGTCGCCACGTGGATTTCCTAATCCGTTGGACTGACCGCACCAGTGAGGACGACACGTAGGTGCATTCTGACTCGCTGACCGCCTCGTCACTTGTTGGTGATTATTTGGCGCGCAAGCGTGTTTCGGACATTGACCGCCTTTCTTAAGGGGGGGGGGTAGTGTAAGGAATTTTCCTTATTTCCTGATCGGGTTGACTGCTACGCGTACAGCCCGATTTTTGGACTTCGCACGTTCGGCCGATTTCAACGCTGCCGAGGCTCCTCGCGTCGCCTTCGGCATTTCCCATCGCCAAACCTGCACCCCAATCTCGCTCGTCTGAGGTTTCCTCCTAGCTAGGCCAAACCCTACATTAGTCTGTGCCTTCATTGTATTCGCAGTTCGTTCAATCACAGTCTCGTTATTCGTTTTACCTGCGCACTCTCTTTTACAACTCATAACAGTTTCACTACATGTTTGTTTCGCATCCTCCTTGATATTGTATTCTGACAAAACCCAGCATTGCTCTAAGCATGGTACGAAGTTATTCAAGCGTAATGATTTTGCACAGGAAAGATTATACTACGTTGACGTAGTGAATGCTTGCTTCAACACTCACTTTCATAATTTCACCTACTGCACAACCCTACGAATGTGCATTAAGAAGCTACAGGGCAAGGAGTGGAAAGGCACGCCAGCTGTCACAATGCATTTGTTAGCCAATGCTCTTTGCGTCACCCACAGCAGCTCTTACAGCACCACTCGCCAGAACCATCAACTGGGTCGTGAGAGGTGCTATACCTCCACACCCTCCCTGCTCTCCTAGTCACTCATCCTTAATTGAAGCACAGACAGCACAAGCTCACACACACACACTCTGATTCCCAACAGTAACTACACCTACAGACTCCCCTCGCCAGCCTGTGCTAGCCTCACTCTCTCCCACACTTCCAAACTTTTACCCACTCTCCCACCCATCATCCCCCTCACTCTCCCACCCTCTCTCACACTGACTCTCACCCCCAAATCAGCGCCAACAGCAAAGTTCCATCTTCCCCCATGCTTCTCCGCTCCTCACCCCCACTGCACCGCAAACAGCACGAGGAAACATGCCCGATCACACCCATCCGACCCAGCTCATTTGCCTGAGCAAACAGGATGTAAGTCACTTGGCCATTTTCTTGTGTGCACTGCTGCAGCAGCGTACCCCCCCTGCTGTACACGCACAGCACAGCACCAGCAAACAATCTCCACAAGCACTACCCCAGTTCCTCCCAGCCCGTCACTAAAAGCCTATTCTGCAGCCTCTCCTGTTTCTCCTCTCTCTCCTGTCTGTTGCGACCAGTCCTACGTCTGTCTCGCCCCACCCAGTTTCCTCACTCCCACTGCAGCACAGAAACTCCTTCCCATCAATATCCACACTCACGGTCCCTCCCAGCTGGTTCCTGAGAGAGCCTCTCACACCCTCTCTCTCTTTCACCCACTCTCTCACTCACTCTTTCATGCACCATCACACCACGACTCTCACTCCCACTGCAGCGCGGACAGCACCAGCAGAGACTCCTTCCCAGCGATATCCACCCAAACAGATCGGTCGTTCATCATACCTTAGCCTTTCATACACTCTCTCCCTCCACCCTCGCACACTAAGCCTCACTCCCACTGCAGCGCGGACAGCACCAGCAGAAACTCCTTCCCAGCAATATCCACCCAGCCGGTCCTTGAGAGCCTTTCAGTTCAGACACACTCTCTGCTGCTCTTTCACACACCCTCACACACCGAGTCTCACTCCCACTGCAGCGCGGACAGCACCAGCAGAAACTCCTTCCCAGCAATATCCACGCGCACCGTCCCTCCCAGCCGGTCCTTGAGAGCCGTTAGATTCACCTCCATCGCCCCTGTGCGCGCCAGCACATTGACAGGTGTCATCTCCACATTGGCCGCCGCTCCTGCCCCTCCTGCTGCGGCAGCGGCGGCAGCAGCGACACCAGCAGCAGCGGCAGCAGCAGCAGCAGCGCCCATCAGGTTGGTGGTGTTGCTGCTGCTGCTGCCGGTGCCGATGCTGCTGCCGCTGCTGCTGGCAGGTATAAGCTTCTCCTGGAGAGGCAATGTAAAGGATACTTTCATCATACCGTAGAACACCTGCCCCACCAGGCCCCCTAAGGCTGTGTTAAACACCATCTTAAGTGCCGGAACCTGCACTTGCTCCTTTGGCCCGCTCCCTCTTGAGTGAGAGTCATGTGCTGCTGCTGCCCCTGCCCCTGCTGCTCCGGCTGATCCTGCTGCTGCTGCTCCTGCTGTTGCTCCTGCTTGTGAGTCTCTACTCAAGGACGAGTCGAGCGATTGCTGCTGCCCACCTGCCCCGTTACCAGGCGCATGGGTCCCCTCCTGCTGCCCACTGCCCCCTGCTGCTACTGCTGCTGCTGCTCCAGGTGCCCCATCCCCGCAGCCTAAGCCAAGAGTCAGCACCAGGCCTTCCCCCGCTGCCCCACCAGCAGCAGCAGCAGCAGCAGCGCCTGTGGTATCCGCAGCAGCAGCAGCAGCACTACCACCGACCACACCAGCACCAGCAGTACCAGCAGCAGCACCGACAGCAACACTAGCACCACCGCTAGACCCGCTCTGCCCCCCGCCACTCCCCCCCGACCCATGCAACCGCTGCTGCCGCTGCTGCTGCCGCCTCTGGCTCTGCTGCTGCTGCTGCGCCGGCAGCGGCAGCAACATATCCTTATCCAGGACCAATAAGGCCTGCCCTACCCTGTCAGGACACGCCCGCACCAAGCATGACCCTCTCCCATCCGTCCTCCGCAAAACCGTCCAATTCACCGCTAAAGAGCGCCGAAAGGAGTCCTTATCGAGTGCTTCTATAGAGGGGAAAATGGCGGATGGGTCTGAGAAGGTGTGGTGGGCGAAGGGGACGAGGGCGCGGCCGCCCTCGTACTTGAATGCTTGGGAGAAGACGGGGGAGCCGTGGAAGGAGAGGTCGAAGAAGAATGTGAGATCGTCCAGGTGGAATGGCAGGGGGGAGGCGCGTCCTGGGCGGAGAAAACGCTTTCTGGGAGAAAGAAAAGAGAGGATGAGGGGGAGGGAAAGGGGCCGGGGAGGGGAGCGGGCAAAAACGGGGGAAGCGGGGGTAAAAGGGGATAAGAAATGGGGTTTGGGAGACGGAAGAAGGGGCGAAGGGGACGAGCGCGCGGCCGCCCTCGTACTTGAATGCTTGCGAGAAGACGGGGGAGCCGTGGAAGGAGAGGTCGAAGAAGAACGTGAGATCGTCCAGATGGAAGGGCAGCGGGGAGGCCCGGCCAGGGCGGAGGAATCGTTTCCTGAGGGAAAGGGGATGGGGAGGGGGGAGGGAGCGGGAAAAGGGCAAGGAGTGGGGAAGGGGAGGAGAATGGGGTTTCGGACCCACGGCGCGCCACAGCAGGGCTGGCCAGAGAGCGATGGTGTGGCGGTGGCAGAGAGGGGGAAGCACGAGGGGAGAGGGTCACTACAGGCACTGTGTAGCCAAATCAGCCTCACCTGTAGAACAAATAGAAGCCGCACGAGTCTGACACACGGCGCGCCACAGCAGGGCTGGCAAGGGCGGGCCAGAGGGCGATGGTGCGGCGGTGGCAGTGAGGGGGGGGACCAGGAGAGGCCAACCAAGTGCAACCCATTTACCTGTAGAACAAATAGAAGCCACAGGAGTCGGAGACACGGCGCGCCACAGCAGGGCTGGCAAGGGCGGGCCAGAGCGCGATGGTGCGGCGGTGGCAGAGGGGGAGACACTGACCAACCGATATATCAGAAACACACAAGTTCCAGCAGCCCACCTGTACAAGCCCTTCACCTGTAAAAGAGGTAGAAGCCACAGGAATCCGAGACCCGTCGGGCCACAGCAGGGCTGGCAAGGGCAGGCCAGAGGGCGATGGTGTGGCGGTGCCAGAGAGGCTCGCTGGTGGCTGCTGCCCTCCACTCGCGACACACACACGCTGCTGCTGCCAGGTCCCTTGGGGGCAGGACGCGGAAGGTGAGCTGGGCGGTGGGGGAAGAGTGGATGAGAGAGGGGAAGAGGGGGGAGAGGGGGGAAGAGCAGATGGGGAGAAAGGAGAAGCAAGGGGAGCAATGGAGTGACAACATGAAGCTTCCAGCACTCGTCGGCTCAACTCAATCGTAGCATGCCTTATAAAGCCCTCCTGTTCATCTACAGACAGCCCTCTTTAGCTGAACATACCACAATCATTATAAAGGCCAAACAAGACGTCTGCCGGACAAGACGTCGGCCAAACAAAAGGGTTCACCATCATTGTAAAGGGAAATTGAAACAAAGCAGCACAAAAAAGTGTGTGTGTAGTTTCGGATTACAAACAGTTTCTTTGCCTTTCAATCCACTCACCTCTAGAACTGAAGGATGAGACGAAATGTCCGATGAACGGCTGTTCTTCCGTGAGAACACGTGCCGCGGGGATGGCAGCGGTGCTCCTGCTGCTGTCGTCGGTGTCGTTGCTGCTGCTGCTACTGGTGCTGGTGGTGCTGTTGCTGCTAGTGCTGTTGATGCTGCCGCTCCTCCTCCTCCTGCACTTCCAGCTCCTGCTGTTGCTGCTGTCGCCATTGCTCCAAATTGTTCTGTAGCACGCTCCTGTGCAGCAGGTACGGCAGCAGGTACGGCAACAAGTGGTACGGCAGAAACGGAACCTGGAACGATGGGGGCACCTGACGAAACACCTGCGCTTTGATGCCAATGACCCTGACTCTGTTGCTGCTGCTGCTGCTGCTGCTGCTGCTGCTGCTGCTGCTGCTGCTGCTGCTGCTGCTGCTGCTGCTGCTGCTGCTGCTGCTGCTGACTATGCCCGTTGTGCTGGTGGTGGTTTGCACTGGGGTTTATATCTACACCCGCACCCCCCATGCTGTGACTGAACATGCCAGGGTTTAGGACACTCGACCCTCCTGACCCCCCTCTATTGGAACACGGTATTAAAAGCACCGAATCTAGAAGCAGCTCTTCTCCGCCTCCCTTCCCCCTTCCTCCTCCAGTCCCCCCTCCAACTCCCCCTCCCCCTCTTTCTCTCCCTTCCCCATCCATGCCCCCTGCCCCTCCCCCTGACCGCTTCCGCTCAAACCCTTCCCCCTCCGCGGACGGGACTATGTCAAAGGGGAGCGGAGGCGGAGTGGACGGGGGAGCGGGGTATGGGGAGCCTTGCGCAGGATATGGGGAGCCTTGCGCGGGGTAGGGGGAGCCTTGCGCGGGGTAAGGGGAGCCTTGTGCGGGATTGGAGGAGACTAGTGCGGGGTAGGAGGAGACTTGTGTGGGGTAAGGGGAGCCTTGCGCGGAATAGGGGGAGACTTGTGCGGGGTAGGGGGGAGTTTGCGGGAGCGGATGGGGTTGCGACGAGGCGGGCGCGGATGGGCGATGCGGAGGCTGCATGCTTGTTGGGGGGAGGGCGCAGGAACACCTAACTGCGCAGTCGTGAGCGGGTTGCGCGGTTGGGGGTTTGCAGGCTCGCGGGAGGGGAGTTGCGCGGAAATACGGGGAGAGGCGTGGGGAAGCTGCGGAGATGCAGGAAGGCAGGTAACAGTAAGCGGGAGGAGCGGGGCTGCAGGCGCAGGCGGAAGAGGGGAGGCGGGAGGAAACCCTAATATACTCGGGATTAGATTTCCGAAGGGAATGAGAACCGGGGGAAAAGGCGGAGTGGAAGTGGTATTGTCTGCAGAGTAGATCTCGTTGTCACAATCACCTACAATCTCAATATTCGTTGCGGTCACGCGCCGCCATGAGTACAAAGTTCGCACTATCCGAGGATTTGATCTTCAGCAAATCTTGAACCAACCATAACCCCATCCATGCCGAAAGGTCAAGCGGACCGGCCGAGGAGCCAAATTGCCACTCGCTACAGTCACAGCTGCAATCACAACTCAGGTGTCAACCACTAGGACTTCGCAACAACCACTTCGCGAACGCGAGTTACATTCGCCGATCGACGAACCCAACCCCGGCCAAAACTGCGCTCTAGCAAAATGGACTAGGCTTGTATCGCAGGTCTCAACAACGCCCCAAAACCTCGATATAGCCAGATCCGTCTGCGATCGAACAACTATCGCCTAGAAAAACCGAAACGTCTACGAGTTGACTCGCTTCTCGAGGTGTCTCTAATACCGATTTTAGCCTGATCCCACGCTACTGCTACAGTTCGCGACTCCTTCGTAGTATCTGCCGTCGCGATTCCGCTGCTTCATAACCCAGCGTCAGAATTTGGTGATGCTGTTCGCCCCTCCATCCGCTTATTCCATCCGATCGAACATACGCCGTCCGATTTGCTCGTCATACGATCGTCGATATTCAGAAGCGGATCCGAGGGTCCTGAAGGCACAAGGGATGGAGGAATTTGGTGCAACAATTCAGGTCGTATCATTGAGCCGCTACTTGAAAAGGCAAGCCAACGATATAGTTGTCGTCCTAAGGCGAAACGGCAAGAGAGCGGGGAAGATGCGTATGTGACGAGAACGACGCGAGACAGGGGGCCAGATGTCATGCGGCAAGGTGAGCGAGATATGGAGGTTAGGATTTCGTTTGTTTTTTAGCGGGAGACTCAGCCCGTCCGATCAGTTTCCCAAGAACAGAGAGTCCACAACGCGCGAAATGTCAATAAGAGACCGGGCGGGGGATGAGGGAGCGAGGGGAGGATGGATACAATATTTGGCGGATCGACAGACCTCGTCCCTGCCTGACCGCGTCGCGCAGCTCGAAGGTGAATGACATGATGGGGAAGCGATGGGCTTGTCGGGAGCGACGAGCACGATGAGGAATGACACGAGAGAATGATAGGAACTCGGGCAGGTGAGGGGAGAGACTTCGCTACGCAAACCCATCCCCCCGGCCCCGCGGTTTTGAAAATCGACATCAACATGACGATTTCGGAGAGCGGAAGCGACGAAAGACAGGCCTCATCCGAACATTGGTACTCAGGTTTGATTCAGAACGATGATAATTTCGATTAGAGCACCCTCACGCAGATGAAAAGCAGGTCCGTCCGACGGAAGGGTACATTACCGTGAGTTTCTACGATTACAGCGATTGGAGGGGTTACATTATCGATCACTTACATCATCAAGCACCGGTGCTGCCGATCTCCCTCGTGGTGGCCGGCACCCACCGTTGCAGGTCGGCTCGATCACCGGCGCCGGCGAAGCGAGACGCGACGCGGCCTGACTAAAGGTTGCAAGAAAAGTTTGACGACGATGCGACGAGGAGGGTTGATGAGGTTCTAAGGAGGTCCTGCTGAGAGTGAGTGCGGGGTTCAACGGTGCTGGGGTTGCGGTTACTGCCACTCTGAACCCTAGAGCATTCAAATCGAGTAACCTCGGCAATGGGGCGTGAGGGGAGGTCTGACGAGGAGTGGAGTTGCGTGCAAGCTCGTTGGGTACCAGAATTAGTACAGTAAAGACCGGTTTGATTGCGCGCCGACAGGTTGTACTAATGGCGGCGATTCGTGACGCATGCGACGAGCGGAGCAGCAAGGAAAGCGACTAAGACGATGGGTGGACCTGGAAGTAATTACAAAAAGCAAGCAGAGCTGCTGCCAGTTTGTTACATTTGAAGGAACTCTTGTCTTTTGTATCTCCCTTGCTGTCAGCATGTCAGTGCTAGGAAAAGCGGAATAAGGACTTTGGAGATGACAGACTGTTTTCAATGGCGCGTGTGCTTGATTGCTTTGCTTTGCTTGCGATCCAGCTTTCTGCGGGAAGTTCGGAAGGCAGGAAGTTAATCTCATCCTCTCATCAGTTTCGTTTTGGTCCCTCGCTGCAATGTCCGCTGCAACGTCAGGCATTCAGACAACGGGACTGCCTGGCAACAAGCGACGAGAGTTGCGCAGCGCGCAGCGAAGACCCAGAACAGCACTTCATGGATTTTCCTGGGGTGTGGAATGGGGTGGAGTGGAGTGGAGCACGAGATTTGTGCAGTAACGTGCTGTAGGGCAAGAAATGTGGATTTCTGTTCAACAATGTAATGAGTGGAGAAGATTGAAGCGGGGTTCAGTGCGGTGCGGTCGCTCTGTACTAGAGTACAACCAAAGCAAAAGCGAGCAGCAGCAACTGAATTCACTGTTTTCCGAAATCAGCTAACGAAGTGCAGGCTGTGCTGTGCCCCTTTCCTGCGCAACGGGCAGGCTGACCCAGGGACTCTCCAGGCCAATCAGATAGAGTTGATGGGTTTTAGTACGACAACTTGGCCACCCTGGAATCATTCAAATGATTCTTATGGTCTATCGGGCAATAAATACTGTACGGTACGTATCCAGTTGATGATTCCGATTTTCCAGCCCGCTAACACCTCCCTTTTCTTTAATCGGGATTGTTTTGGAAACTTTATTAATCTGCATCTTGTGGAAACTGTATTTACACTACAAACTTCTTCAGAATACACTCTTCCCGTTCCAATGTGAGTGTGACCAGCGTATTCAGCGTTTGGTTCAACAATTGGCAGGCGTCGAGAGCAAATTCACGTGGGAACAGACGCAGCTGACACAGTACCTCCAGGCCGACTGGTTGTCTAAACGCCACGCCAGTCATATGTACACAGGTTGGGTAACCCGGTGCTGCTGGACAGAGTGCCGCATGGTTGGGCATCCCCAGCGACCCAACACCAAGCCAGCGGGCAACCACAACTCACTTTTTACTGAGCTAGTCGGGACGATCTCACCATTGTTTAATATATACTAAAAGCGGCTTAGTAGAGATGTTGACTTACACCATACCCCAACCAGCACTCGTGAGCCTTCTACTCCCACTCCACCCCCCAATTCAACTTTCTATTCCTTCAACAACTCTTTGTTCCTACTTTAGTGAAGATCTGGCACCAAACTGACTGATCAAATCGCTGGTGGTTTTGGAGACCTACCAGACTTGCTGGAGATTCCCAAAAAATGTAGTGTAGTAGACCCCTTCAATTGGTGACGGAAGGATACGAAATTTGGTCCCCTAATTGAATGGCATTCCATGTCCTGCGGCGTGGGAAAGGTCGTTCGTTCCACTCTGTGGCCGTGCGGTGATGTGTGGTCTGGTGTGGTTTGGCCTGGACGTGAGTCTGCACTGCAGTACATTTTTGCCCAACCACCCTCCAACCTACTTCGGAATGCTGCTTCTCAACCTCTCCAAACCAGCGTCACCCCAAGTCGGGCCGAACCCGACTCCCCGGTGCAGTAGGTTTCAAGTCGAGGTCTTGAAAGAGCTTGAAATTTCAAAGACAAGGTTACATACCCGCTAATTTCGCACATTCTTCGTGAACCTTGGCGAGAGTCTTTCGATGACGTACACTGATCAGTTCAGGCGCTCGGTATCCCCATCCCCATACGTGAAAACCATCCTGTTTGAGATTTAGGAGGCTCCACGCCTATATGAGTAGGTACAATGAGCTTTAGTAGGCGAAAGCGACTCCACTAAAGACTCCCTGGCACGCCGGAAAATAAAAACATCTGCTACGCCAACCTCACTCACCCGCTCTCGTCGCTCACCCGCTCTCGTCGCTCATCCACTCTCGTCGCTCACCTGCTCTCATCGCTCACCCACGCTCGTTGCTCATCCGCGCTCGTCGCGCATCCGCTCTCGTCGCTCATCCGCGCTCGTCGCTCATCCGCGGTCGTCTTTCATCCGCGCTCGTCGCTCATCCGCTCTCGTCTTTCATCCTCTCTCGTCTTTCATCCGCTCTCGTCTTTCATCCGCTCTCGTCTTTCATCCGCTCTCGTCTTTCATCCGCTCTCGTCTTTCATCCGCGCTCGTCGCTCACCCGCTCCTATCGCTCACATCTCACCTCTTTCCTGTAACAGTCACTTTCACATCACCCATCTCACTTTCACGGCTCTCACGCTCCTAAAGCGACATACAAACCCGCGTCACTCGCACTCCCTTCGTTCAAGCTCGTGTTAGTCACGCGATATAGGCTAAATTTGGCGAGATAGCCTCAAACTCGCGTCGCTAATTCGAAATAGACTTGTAAATCGCGTCACTCACGAGAAATAGTCTCAGAATCGCGCTCCCGTCTCGTCGCCCATCCGCACTTGTCATCCAAATCCTTTCACTCACTCTCCCTTTACCTTCCTCTCTTTCCTCGCTCAAACCCACCCGGGCCGTCACGCACACTCCCCGAACTCACTTGACGTCATTCCCTCTCTCGTCACTCACATTCCCCCGTCACCCCCCTCTTTCTCGTCATTCACACTCCCCCGTCACCCTCCTCGTTCCCCGCAATTACCTCCTTCCATCTTCCAATTCACCCCCCTTGTTCTCCGCACCTCTTTCCATCGCCTCATCTTACCCATCTCGTTCAACGACACGTATCTCCTTCCTCTCCCCCCCGCCTTTCCCCACATCCCCCTTTCACTCCGTTACGTAACACCCTACACCACCCCACTAACCGCCCTCCACTTCCCAACTCACCGCCCTCCTTCCCAGCAAAGTGCCAAGCTCTCACGGTCCACCTTTCCCCCTCTTCATCTCTCCTTCCTTCCCCATCTGCATCTATCCTGCCGTACCCCTCTACATCTCTGCACCCTTCCCCCTCTGATATTTCCTCCCTTCCCCCGCTGCATCTCTCCTCCCATACCCCTCTGCCTCTCTCCTCCCTTCCCCCCACTAATTGTCCCATCCCGCCCCCCACTTACTACCCTCCCTACCTCATCTCTCTCCCGCTATTCTCCTCCCTCCCTGCATCTTCTCTCCTACCGTATCTCCCACCCTCCCAGTCTGTGCTGTCCTAGTGGCAGGGTAGTATGAAGGGTCGGGACGTGGAAAGGGGAGATGGGGAAGGAAGCAGTAAAGTGGATCGGCTGACCTTTGCAGAGGTAGGGTTTTGGGGAATGAAGAGTAACCTTATAGTTTCTGCAGACGTTTGTGTTGTTGAAAGTTAGGAGTCTTGTGAGATACATGAAGAATCTACTAAATGCGGTGGTGCCAGCAGAAAGAATGGATGTCTTGTATGAACGACCTGCAGTTGTTCAGTACCGGTATGCTTTGTTGACAAACCGTTGGGCACAACCTAAGGTTCTAGTTAAGGATTACTAGTTATGGTAGCATATAGAATGCATGCTTTGTTGTACCGGAGACCGCATCATACCGGATTTTCCCGCACCGCAGCCGAAGCCCTGAGCGGCTGTCTTTACAGATTCACGTGTGGGGCAGCAGCACCCCTTCCATCTCCCATTGGTTCGTTCTCGCCTCCCCCCCGATTTTCCACCGCACCATCCTGACGTGGGGTTCCGTACACATGATGCGCATTAAATTGCTCTTTCAAAACAGGTTCTTGTCAGAGGTTACCGATAGAAGGGAGCTGTCGACTATCATTGGCAGCCGCTTTATGGGCACACGACGGATCACCCAACTTCGTGATTACCCGAATTTCCCGAACCGAACGAAGCAGGCTGAGCTACCCGAAAACTGAGAACTGTTGATTTGTAACCCCACTATTTCCTCCAAACCCCATTTAGCCTTGGAAGCCACAAGGTTGGAAGGAATCCAAATGAAAAATACGTGTACAACTCTTTAGTGCTCCGTGGCCCGGTCGAGGCATAGTCCGGACGTATTTCCGAACCGGAAAAGACGTCCGGCCGGAACCAGTTTCGATGGCACAGTCTGCACAGCACGGCAACATTCAAATCCAACCTTCTCACCACGTGCTCGTCTTTCCCACTCTCCTGTCTGCTACAGTGGTTTCACTGGTGGTTCCCTCCCGTCCCGTCATGGGGCGTTTTGAAACTCACTTCCTCATCCTCATGCTCTGTAAGCTCAAGTCTGTAGGCAATTTCGAGTTCGGGCTTCAAAGTTGGGAGACTATATTAGTTCTGCTGAGCCGCGTGGCTTTGAGTTGCGCGTTGTTTTAACTCCCTGCAATTTCGTGTAATTGTTCTAATGCCCAATAATCGTGTCGCATTGTATGCCCGTCAGGTGCGGCGATGTTCACTGCCGCGTCTGCATCGCTCCTCGAATCATTCCTCCCACGCGATAATGGCGGCATCATTCCTCTCGCTTCAACCGCTCATGCAGTCACGCCCCAGCAACTTCAGAAGAAATATTTCGGTAAGATTTTCGTGCCATGCAGAGCTCCTGACAGTAATTTAACCCTAGAAGGTGATGTTATTTCGCGGGTTCAGGGTTTAGGGATGTATATTGGATAGGAACTTTCAAAGAAAAGAAGTTGGTGTTTAAGAATTCATAAGGTTATTTTTTGAATGCTCCCTCAATCACATACAACAAGAACAGAATGCAGAGAATACAGTGGCCCTGGGCGCCTACCGAACACGGCCCCTGTGAACGCCATCTTACCCAGAAAGATGTGGCTATGGGGGATCAAACCCTGGTGCTGGCTACAACTTCTGCCAGACCCCGACCCGAGCTCGGCTCGGGGTGGAGTAGATTCACTCCGAGTTAGGGAGTGGCGTTAGGTCCAGGCGCTTTCTTATCCAGAAAAGAATCACTTCCGAAACATGTGGTTCCGGGGGATCAAACTCCCGTGCCGGCTACAACAGCTGCTGGTTAGCACGAGCTCAGCTCGGACTGGAGTAGATACACTCGCTGACTTAGAGAGCGGCGTTACGGTACAACCGTTTTCTTATCCGGAATAAGTAACTTCCGAATGATGTGGCTCCGGGGGTTCAAACCCGGTGCCGGCTACAAGTTCTGCCAGTTCCCTAGATGGTGGTTTTCACGAGCTCAGCTCGGAGTGGTGTGGATATTGCCGAACCTCGCTGACTTAGCGGCGAGCGGCGCGCCAGGTAGTACGCGGCGTTTATTTATCCGAAAATGAGTCACTTCTGGAGTCCGAAAGATGTGGCTCGGGGGGATCAAACCCCGGTGTCGGCGGCTACATCTTCTGCCAGTCCCCGAGATTCAATCTGCGGTTGTGTTTTGAGCGAACAGCGCGCCAGGTAAGCGTCTGGTTGACGATGCGCGTTCCAGGCGGCGGTACGACCTCCCTGTACCCCTCCTTCCGTTCTCCCACATCCACATTTTAGACTCGACACCCAAGTATAAACTAGGGGCGTCGAATAGTTCTAATCAGCACTGCATGGAAACCTTCTAGTAAAGCCTTCTACGCCCTTGACTTTCCCACTCTCGTGTCTGCTAAGTACCACTCTTGGTTCCGTCATGGGGCGTTGGGGAACACACATCATCCTCCTGCTCTGTAAGCTCAAGTCTGTAAGGCTCTGGTGTTACGAGTGATATTACTAGTTCTGCTGAGTGTGCATTGAGTGGCGGCGCGCTATTTAGTTGCTTGCAATTTTCGTTCATCTGTTCTCATGCTCAATGATCGTGTCGCGCTGTGTGCCCGTCAGGTGCGGCGGCGCTGTTCACTGCCACGACTGCATCGCTCCTCGGATCATTCCCCCCACGCGATGATGGCGGCAGCGTTCCTCTCGCTTCATTCCGTAAGATCTTCGTGCCACAGATCTCCTGATAGTAACTTAACATTGAATCTTGTCAGGTTCCGCATTTCATCCCGCCAGTGATGCCCCGTGTGACGCTTTCGCCCATACTGAAGCCATAGCTCTTCTTCTCTTCTGTTCTTCTAATGACTCTCTGACACCGCCAGCAAAGTATCTGGCCGAGTCGCGTCCATTTTGGAACGACTGAAAACGATTTTAATTACTCCCTGACACTTGTTTTCTCCATTCTTGTTTTCAGCGACGAAGTATGTGGCCAAGCTCCGTCCAACTAAGTTAGGCAAATCGATCGTGGGTGACAAAGGCGCACGGGGGAAGTTTATTATAAAGGGTTACAGGTACGTCTCCATGCAGTTTCACTGTTGCGACTAGTGAATCGTATTATATGGGGTCTGAATACCAGCAGTCACACATGGATTGATTTGAATATCCGCAATGACGCTAGTTGTGCTTTGAATGGCCCCCTTCCTGACATCATGTCCTACCTCGTTCCTATTTCACAGGTCTGGTGCAGATTCCTACGTCAAAATTTTGGGTGCAAATTCAACTGAGTTCCTGCCTTGCGAGTGGTATTGTCTCTATCGGCCTCCCTAAATCTTGGGAGAATCTCACCACTGCGAGTAGTCCTCCCGGGAGGTACTCGTTCGGATACAAGATGCTGTTTGGGCCCGGGCCTGATGCGGATATGGGTGCTATTATCGCGGATATACTGTCTCAGGGGGCATATACCAGAGTGTGGCATGGAGAAAATTCAAAGGCTCTCTGTGGGAAATTGAAGAAGAAAGCGTAGAAATGAGTGGCTAAATCAAAGATGGCCTTTACTTTCTTTGTTCCGTGTGTCTTTTTTTTTTTTTCGGAAAAAAGGGGAGAATACGTAAGTCGGGAGAAGGATGGAGGTTGGGGGAGTAGGAGAAAGGGGAGGCTTTTATTTGATTTTTAGCCTGGTGGTGTGTTGTGTAGCATGTCTGTTTGAAAGCAGTGTTGAAACTTTCTGAAGCATCAAGCAGTGCTGGTTAGGAAAGTAACCAGTCACAAGAAGATTCCAGAAGAAGATTCCAGGGGGAATGGTGGGAATTAAATCCAGATTGGGGCTGTGTGGAAATGAAAAAAATGTGGCAGACATGGAAAGAAAATGCGGAACAATCTCAACGACCAGCTTGCCTGCTGGCTAGCATCCTCTCTCTGAAGGTAATTTCAGTCTTTTAGCCGACTCTCATCTCAATCTGGTTTACGTTGCAGACGTGGCAAGAATCCTCATGATGATTCCAACCGCCAGCGTGCGGCCGCCCTCTCTCAGAGCGATGCGGCCAAACGCACGGAAGTCTGAGTAGGCTTCCAGGCACACGCCCCGGTCCAGAGACAACTGTGAGTGTGAGGGGGAGGTGGTGGGGGGAGGTGGTGCGGGGAGAGTGGGAATGACAGGGCAAGTGTAAACGCACGGAAGGCTGAGAAGGCTTCAAGGTACACACCACGGTCCAGAGACAACTGTGAGTGTGAGGGGGAGGTGGGGAGGGGGAGTGGGAATGACAGGGCAGGTGTAAACGCACGGAAGTCCGAATATGATTCAAGGCACACACCCCGGTCCAGAGACAACTGTGAGTGTGGGGGGAAGGTGGTGTGGGGAGGTGGTGGGGGGAGTGGGCAGGTAAGGACAGGTCAAGTTCAAGGTACGACTATTGAGGCGCCTCAAAAGTTCAAGGTAATCAAAACGCCTGCCCCGGTCCAGAGACAACAGCAGGTGTGTAGAAGAACGTGAGGAAGGGGGGAAGTGGGGGAAGTAATGGTATGTCAAGTCCCATTGCAGGGAAGTTTTGAGTAGGCTTCGAGGCGCACGCCCCGGTCCAGAGACAACAGCAGGTGCGAGGGAAAAGGTGGTGGGGAGGAGTGGTTAACCAAGCAAGCTCAAAAGCACGAAAGTGACTTTTGAGACGTCTCAAAAGTGTGAGTAGGCTTCGAGGCGCACGCCCCGGTCCAGAGACAACAGCAGGTGCGGTTGAGATGGTGGTAGCGGGAGCAGGAGAAGTACTGTCAGGGCAGGTTCAGACGCACGGAAGAGTGAGGAGCCTTCGAGGTACATGCCACAGTTCAGAGACAACGGTGGGACAGAGACAGGGTGGGGTTGTGGTGGGGGAAAGATGGCAGTTTTACCCATTGCCCTCCTCCCATCCCATCCCATCACCTACCTCCCTCCTCCCATTCCCGAGCACCCACCCACTTCACCTAACTCCCCGCCCTGCCCCTCCCCCTCCCCTCCCCTTCCTCATCTACACGATGGGCACTCTGGTTGGGCCCCACGGCTCTGGGCTTGGGCTTTCTCCACCCTTACCCTCCCCTTATTCTCCCCCTTTCACTTATTCCCCAATCCCCCTCCCGCCACCTCACCTCCACGATTGCACACTGGTTGGGCCCCACGGCTCTGGGCTTGGCTCTAGGCTTGGCTCTGGGCTTGGCTCTGGGCTTGGCTCTAGGCTTGGCTCTGGGCTTGGCTCTGGGCTTGGCTCTGGGCTTGTTTGGCCCATCCCTACCCTCCTGCCTCATTCCTTACCCTCCTTCCTCTCTTCCGTACTAAACAATCCCCAATCCCAAGCACACACCTCTTCCTCTCACCTACTTCTCACCTCCACAATGCAACTCTGGTTGGACCCCACGGCTCTGGGCTTGGCTCTAGCAACAGCTCCCGTCTTGGCGTCGAGAATGGCTGTGAGAGTCGCGATGCGACACGCCTCCTTGGCTGCATGCGCATGCAGAATGGCCTGGGGTGAGGGGTGGGGGTGGGGGTGGGGTTGGGGAGGGGTGGGGGAGGGGGTAAAAGAGAGAAGGGGGAAGAGGGTGGGGGAGAAGGTGAGGCAGAGCGCCTTGGTTGGCTCTGAGAGTCGGGATTTTGAGGTCGAGCGTGAGGAGGCGCGCGCCCACTCTTGCGGCGATTAGGATGTGGCAGTCCGGGTGGCACAGCAGCAACAAGTGCGGTAGTCCCTTACCCACTCCACTCGCACTCACATTGCTCCACTCGCACTCACGTTTGTGCCCCTACCAACCCCCCTAGCCCACAGCCACTCACATTGCTCCACTTGCACTCACGTTTGTGCCCCTACCAACCCCCCTAGCCCACAGGCACTCACATTGCTCCACTCGCACTCACGTTTGTGCCCCTACCAACCCCCCTAGCCCACAGCCACTCACATTGCTCCACTCGCACTCACGTTTGTGCCCCTACCAACCCCCCTAGCCCACAGCCACTCACATTGCTCCACTCGCACTCACGTTTGTGCCCCTACCAACCCCCCTAGCCCACAGGCACTCACATTGCTCCACTCGCACTCACGTTTGTGCCCCTACCAACCCCCCTAGCCCACAGCCACTCACATTGCTCCACTCGCACTCACGTTTGTGCCCCTACCAACCCCCCTAGCCCACAGCCACTCACATTGCTCCACTCGCACTCACGTTTGTGCCCCTACCAACCCCCCTAGCCCACAGCCACTCACATTGCTCCACTTGCACTCACGTTTGTGCCCCTACCAACCCCCCTAGCCCACAGCCACTCACATTGCTCCACTCACACTCACGTTTGTGCCCCTACCAACCCCCCTAGCCCACAGCCACTCACATTGCTCCACTTGCACTCACGTTTGTGCCCCTACCAACCCCCCTAGCCCACAGCCACTCACATTGCTCCACTTGCACTCACGTTTGTGCCCCTACCAACCCCCCTAGCCCACAGGCACTCACATTGCTCCACTCGCACTCACGTTTGTGCCCCTACCAACCCCCCTAGCCCACAGCCACTCACATTGCTCCACTCGCACTCACGTTTGTGCCCCTACCAACCCCCCTAGCCCACAGCCACTCACATTGCTCCACTTGCACTCACGTTTGTGCCCCTACCAACCCCACTAGCCCACAGCCACTCACACTGCTCCACTTGCACTCACGTTTGTGCCCCTACCAACCCCCCTAGCCCACAGCCACTCACATTGCTCCACTTGCACTCACGTTTGTGCCCCTACCAACCCCCCTAGCCCACAGCCACTCACATTGCTCCACTTGCACTCACGTTTGTGCCCCTACCAACCCCCCTAGCCCACAGCCACTCACATTGCTCCACTTGCACTCACGTTTGTGCCCCTACCAACCCCCCTAGCCCACAGCCACTCACATTGCTCCACTCGCACTCACGTTTGTGCCCCTACCACCCCCCCTAGCCCACAGCCACTCACATTGCTCCACTTGCACTCACGTTTGTGCCCCTACCAACCCCCCTAGCCCACAGCCACTCACATTGCTCCACTTGCACTCACGTTTGTGCCCCTACCAACCCCCCTAGCCCACAGCCACTCACATTGCTCCAATTGCACTCACGTTTGTGCCCCTACCAACCCCCCTAGCCCACAGCCACTCACATTGCTCCACTTGCACTCACGTTTGTGCCCCTACCAACCCCCCTAGCCCACAGCCACTCACATTGCTCCACTTGCACTCACGTTTGTGCCCCTACCAACCCCCCTAGCCCACAGCCACTCACATTGCTCCACTTGCACTCACGTTTGTGCCCCTACCAACCCCCCTAGCCCACAGCCACTCACATTGCTCCACTCGCACTCACGTTTGTGCCCCTACCAACCCCCCTAGGCCACAGCCACTCACATTGCTCCACTTGCACTCACGTTTGTGCCCCTACCAACCCCCCTAGCCCACAGCCACTCACATTGCTCCACTTGCACTCACGTTTGTGCCCCTACCAACCCCCCTAGCCCACAGCCACTCACATTGCTCCACTTGCACTCACGTTTGTGCCCCTACCAACCCCCCTAGCCCACAGCCACTCACATTGCTCCACTCGCACTCACGTTTGTGCCCCTACCAACCCCCCTAGCCCACAGCCACTCACATTGCTCCACTTGCACTCACGTTTGTGCCCCTACCAACCCCCCTAGCCCACAGCCACTCACATTGCTCCACTTGCACTCACGTTTGTGCCCCTACCAACCCCCCTAGCCCACAGCCACTCACATTGCTCCACTTGCACTCACGTTTGTGCCCCTACCAACCCCCCTAGCCCACAGCCACTCACATTGCTCCACTTGCACTCACGTTTGTGCCCCTACCAACCCCCCTAGCCCACAGCCACTCACATTGCTCCACTTGCACTCACGTTTGTGCCCCTACCAACCCCCCTAGCCCACAGCCACTCACATTGCTCCACTTGCACTCACGTTTGTGCCCCTACCAACCCCCCTAGCCCACAGCCACTCACATTGCTCCACTCGCACTCACGTTTGTGCCCCTACCAACCCCCCTAGCCCACAGCCACTCACATTGCTCCACTCGCACTCACGTTTGTGCCCCTACCAACCCCCCTAGCCCACAGCCACTCACATTGCTCCACTCGCACTCACGTTTGTGCCCCTACCAACCCCCCTAGCCCACAGCCACTCACATTGCTCCACTCGCACTCACGTTTGTGCCCCTACCAACCCCCCTAGCCCACAGCCACTCACATTGCTCCACTTGCACTCACGTTTGTGCCCCTACCAACCCCCCTAGCCCACAGCCACTCACATTGCTCCACTTGCACTCACGTTTGTGCCCCTACCAACCCCCCTAGCCCACAGCCACTCACATTGCTCCACTTGCACTCACGTTTGTGCCCCTACCAACCCCCCTAGCCCACAGCCACTCACATTGCTCCACTCGCACTCACGTTTGTGCCCCTACCAACCCCCCTAGCCCACAGCCACTCACATTGCTCCACTTGCACTCACGTTTGTGCCCCTACCAACCCCCCTAGCCCACAGCCACTCACATTGCTCCACTTGCACTCACGTTTGTGCCCCTACCAACCCCCCTAGCCCACAGCCACTCACATTGCTCCACTTGCACTCACGTTTGTGCCCCTACCAACCCCCCTAGCCCACAGCCACTCACATTGCTCCACTCGCACTCACGTTTGTGCCCCTACCAACCCCCCTAGCCAACAGCCACTCACATTGCTCCACTCGCACTCACGTTTGTGCCCCTACCAACCCCCCTAGCCCACAGCCACTCACATTGCTCCACTTGCACTCACGTTTGTGCCCCTACCAACCCCCCTAGCCCACAGCCACTCACATTGCTCCACTCGCACTCACGTTTGTGCCCCTACCAACCCCCCTAGCCCACAGCCACTCACATTGCTCCACTTGCACTCACGTTTGTGCCCCTACCAACCCCCCTAGCCCACAGCCACTCACATTGCTCCACTTGCACTCACGTTTGTGCCCCTACCAACCCCCCTAGCCCACAGCCACTCACATTGCTCCACTTGCACTCACGTTTGTGCCCCTACCAACCCCCCTAGCCCACAGCCACTCACATTGCTCCACTTGCACTCACGTTTGTGCCCCTACCAACCCCCCTAGCCCACAGCCACTCACATTGCTCCACTCGCACTCACGTTTGTGCCCCTACCAACCCCCCTAGCCCACAGCCACTCACATTGCTCCACTCGCACTCACGTTTGTGCCCCTACCAACCCCCCTAGCCCACAGCCACTCACATTGCTCCACTTGCACTCACGTTTGTGCCCCTACCAACCCCCCTAGCCCACAGCCACTCACATTGCTCCACTTGCACTCACGTTTGTGCCCCTACCAACCCCCCTAGCCCACAGCCACTCACATTGCTCCACTTGCACTCACGTTTGTGCCCCTACCAACCCCCCTAGCCCACAGCCACTCACATTGCTCCACTTGCACTCACGTTTGTGCCCCTACCAACCCCCCTAGCCCACAGCCACTCACATTGCTCCACTCGCACTCACGTTTGTGCCCCTACCAACCCCCCTAGCCCACAGCCACTCACATTGCTCCACTTGCACTCACGTTTCTGCCCCTACCAACCCCCCTAGCCCACAGCCACTCACATTGCTCCACTTGCACTCACGTTTGTGCCCCTACCAACCCCCCTAGCCCACAGCCACTCACATTGCTCCAATTGCACTCACGTTTGTGCCCCTACCAACCCCCCTAGCCCACAGCCACTCACATTGCTCCACTTGCACTCACGTTTGTGCCCCTACCAACCCCCCTAGCCCACAGCCACTCACATTGCTCCACTTGCACTCACGTTTGTGCCCCTACCAACCCCCCTAGCCCACAGGCACTCACATTGCTCCACTTGCACTCACGTTTGTGCCCCTACCAACCCCCCTAGCCCACAGCCACTCACATTGCTCCACTTGCACTCACGTTTGTGCCCCTACCAACCCCCCTAGCCCACAGCCACTCACATTGCTCCACTTGCACTCACGTTTGTGCCCCTACCAACCCCCCTAGCCCACAGCCACTCACATTGCTCCACTTGCACTCACGTTTGTGCCCCTACCAACCCCCCTAGCCCACAGCCACTCACATTGCTCCACTCGCACTCACGTTTGTGCCCCTACCAACCCCCCTAGCCCACAGCCACTCACATTGCTCCACTCGCACTCACGTTTGTGCCCCTACCAACCCCCCTAGCCCACAGCCACTCACATTGCTCCACTCGCACTCACGTTTGTGCCCCTACCAACCCCCCTAGCCCACAGCCACTCACATTGCTCCACTCGCACTCACGTTTGTGCCCCTACCAACCCCCCTAGCCCACAGCCACTCACATTGCTCCACTTGCACTCACGTTTGTGCCCCTACCAACCCCCCTAGCCCACAGCCACTCACATTGCTCCACTTGCACTCACGTTTGTGCCCCTACCAACCCCCCTAGCCCACAGCCACTC